ATATCCAAATGCTTCACACTGAAAACACTTTAAAGTAACTAAAAACTAAATGTATAATTTATAGAGATAACACACAGAAATGAACTGACAATTTAGAAAAATGGTAATCTCCTATATGTCTATATCCAACCCCTTTGTGGTCTACTTCATATACTCTACCCACCCCACTTGAAAAAAAACTTTTCAGGTTATGTCCAACCTGAAAAGTGTATAAGCGATACAGGTCTATACTAGGATACACCTGTGTGGTCCTGGCTTTTAAATTTGGAAATCTGGTCAGGTTCAGACTCCTTTTAAAAACTCTTCCCAACAAACATAATTAAATTTGTGATCCCTAGGATTCAGACAATACAGTTAAAATAGCCTAATAAATGAAAACAACTAATTTTTCCATTTTTAAAATAAAAATCACTGGATTCTTTGTGTCTAAAAACCTAAATCTGAATTATTCTTGTCTGGCATTGTGTAAACATATTTTTAAGTTCATTTTGCTGGGCTTCATTAACCACTTCAGGATCTGCAGGACTCTTCTGAACTTTTGCCACTGCAAAGTTTATCCCATGGGTTAATCCAGCTTGAGTGATACTTGCAACCTGGACCATGGAACTTCGAATCTTGGCAAAGGGAGAGACTGCTCTGCTGCTACTGCTCTCTGAAGGAGAAGGAGTTATGTGAAGCCCTGTCTCAAGTTCAAGCATGCTGGAACCAGAGCCAGGGGTCTTTTGAGATACAACTGCATGTACTGGTTCAACTGACAAAAACTGTGGGCCTGTTGCAGAAAAAGACACATCTAATTGAGATGGTCGAGAAGGTGTCTGTTCCATTGATTCTGATTGGGTTTCTTCATTGGCAACCTGATTGGTCATTTGATTTCCTTCCTCACTAGCCTGCTGAGACACAGACCTGGTCTCTGATAGTTGGGTCATTTTGTTTTGTGCATCTTGCACAAATTTGTGGCAGTAAATATCCACAGGCTTAGCAAAGCCAGTCAATATGTGTATGTTGTCAGCAGAAGGACTTTTCTTCAAGGGAGACTCCTGGCCTCTTCCGAGCCCACTTCCTTGAGCAGCAGTCATCTCTGAAGGAACATGGACGCTAACATCAGTGCTGCTGATAGACTGGGACCGACCGCCTAGCCGAGGTGCTGAAGCAATAATACCACAACTAGGAAGAACATAATCTATCGGACCTACACTCTCTAAGGAATCAGCTAGCTGCCTATCTTCATCAGACTTGGAATTTGTAAGGAATTCATCAGAGTGGTATGAGTCATTATCTGAAGAAATGTCCCCATCAGACTCTGCCTGGACCTTACTGTCCATCACTCCTGTGTTTTCCATGGTTTCAAGACTACTATCTGATTTCCAAAGATTTACTTTTAAGTTTGGTTTAAGAAAGTTAACTTTTGTTTCAGGTTTTGCGAAGTTTCCTAGCTTTCGTAGGTTGCCAATATTTACATTGGATTTGGTCTGCTTCACTTTCTGATTTAGAGATGAAAATTTACTCATTAAAAATTCTTTCCCTGTGCCAAAGAGCCTTGGTTTTGAGATCTGATACCAATGATGTCTTCATGAGGCTTACTGTTCTTCCTCTCAAGTTTCTTCTCAATTATAGGTACATTCAGTCCCATGGCTTGCTTAGTAATCTGCAGCATCTCTGCAATGCACTGAAGGGTATCTTTTCCGTCCTCTTCTGGATTGCACATTACAGCTCTCAGTGTGTGGAAATAGCCACTTGCTTTTTTGTATCTGTAGTGCAATCGCATGCAGGAGAACTTTGGCTTACCAAAAAGAGTAGGTTCAGGACCTATTTCTATTTTTTCCAGGTCTTCTAGACTTAGTCGTTGATACTGGTTTACTTTATCAACTTCATAGTCATAATAGGCCACGTAGTAGGCAGAGTTAGAAAGCAGTAACAGCACATCCACATCTCTGTGAGTAGCATCAATGAGGGGGCACTCTGAAAATTGTTGCTTGAGCCAAGCCATAAAAATTACGTCATGACACAAATTTTAATACGAAATAAATTCTACTCCTACTAATTACAGTGTTACTTTCATCCTAGTTTCCTGTTTTGGCATTAACATTTACATCAGTCAAACATGATCCTCAGTCAAAAACATTATGTCCTTAATGAAAAGCACTTGGCAAGTAACAGGCGGTCGAAAATGTCAGCCCTTCCCCCCAACCCCATTTTTACTGAAGTCTTAGCTGCAGTAAATACTTAATTCCCCTCCCCATCCACCCTTCCCCTTTAAAAACAAAACAAAACATAACAAAACAAAACAAAAAACACAAACATAACAAAACAAAACATAACAAAACAAGAAATACAAACGATAAACGAAATGAATAACCCTGTAGATACTCCCCACCCCCGACTGTTTGCAGCTCTAAAGAGAAGGCTGCTCTATTCGGTTTTTGTTTTCCCGTCACTGAGGCAAGCCCTCCTTCCACACTATGAAGACAAAAATTGCCAGCACCACATGAAGCCCGACCACCGCGACAATGGTCGCATAAAAGGCGCTGTCTTCAGGGGACATTAACATCAGACTTTGGAAAAGAAGTAATTTACAGGAAAAATATAACCCCACAGGAAATTTAATCATAAGTCCTGCAAAAAGGAGAAAAATCTTGAAAGTCATGGCCAAAACGCCGTCAGACTTGGGTTCGGCGGCAGCAGCGGTAGCTGCCCGCTGCGCGGTAGGTGGAGGCCTGTGGGAGCGTGGCATCGTCAGTTCGTCGGTCTGTCAGTCCGTCCATCCGTCGATGCCTCGAAGCTCAGAGAGCCGCCTGCAGCCAACCTCGTGCCTGCAGCGAATCCTCATATGCTTTTTGACTGCTCATATGTCTTCCTTAGAGAGTTTTTTGTTCAGCTCATTTTCTCATCTTTTAATTGGGTTAATCATTTTTTTTCTTCTGGTAAGCTGCTTGAGTTCCCTGTGTATTCTGGTTATCAGTCCCTTATCTAAGGCATAGTTTACAAAAATTTAAAATAAATAATTCTTAAAAATTCACATATCAGCCTCTATTAAGACAGTGGTGGGCCAGCTCCATGACTAGGTGGTGAAGGTAGCCAGATCCCACCTGGCTGATTCCGTGGTTTGAGTTCCAGATATGGTAACTTGAGAAATATGCTGGGCATGTGTGAATGTATGTCCCCACATTCTAACATGATGGAGAAATAGAAGAAAAGGATTGTGGGGTGACCATTCCCAAAAGGTGCCTTCTTCCCATTGTCTTTCTCTCTCTCTGTCTGTCTCTCTGGTGAATGCATACACTCTCTGGCAAAATAAAAAATGAAAAAGAATAAAGATAGTGGCACCAAACTGTACAAGTACTCATTGTATACGTCACTACCACATTCTCATAATAAAGAAAATGGCAGTTTTGAGCCAGCTGGCAGTGTGGTGGTTAAGGTGGCTGGATCTTATATGACTGACTGCATGGTTCTAGGCTTAGACCTAACAACTTGGGAAATACTTGGGTGCTTGTGTATGCATGTCCAAAATCCCAAGATGGAAATGGAGGAGAAGGGATTGCAGTGTGGCCATCCCCTTAGGGGATGCTTTCTCATGTTCCCTCTCTCTCTCCCTGGTGAGTGCATGCACACTGTAGAAAATTAAAAAAAGAAAAAGAAATAAAATGCCAGTTTCATATATGAAAGTTCTTGATGAAACAGAAAAAAATACTAGCTTTTTAAAGAGATTTTTGCTATAGGGAGCATGCACTCATAGGAGGCAGAGACAGAAAATGAGAAATCACCCCCCAGAGAAGGGATGGCCACACCATAATCCCTTTTTCTCCATTCTCCTCTTGGAATTTTAAGCATGAATGCACACGTGTCCAGCATATTTTAAGCCACCAGGTCCAGGACTTGAACAGTGGTCAGTCAGGTGGCAGTCCAGTGACATAACCACCATGCCATCTGCTGGTCCCAGCTTTAAGAAAATCTTTAAAATATTCATTTATTGGGGCCAACAGATGGCGAGATTTCTCATTTTCTCTCTCTCACTATCTCTGTTTCTCTCTCTAGTGAGTACATGTGTGGTAAGGCAGAAACCTCTTTAAATAATTAACTTCTGGAACCAGCAGATGGCATAATGGTTATGTTGCTGGACTCCCACATAGTTGACTGTAGTTTGAGCCCCAGACCTGGCAGCTTAAAAATCACACCAGAAGCATGTGCGTGCATGCCCCAAATCCTGACACTGGAGGGGAAGGGATTACAGCGTGGCCATTCCCCCTCAGTGGTGATTTCTTGCTTTCTGTCTCTCTCTGGTGAGCACATGCACCCTATAGCAAAAATCTCTGTAAAAAACAAAAAGCATTTCTCTTTTTAAAAATAATTATTTTATTTAACTTTATTTACTTATTTCTTTTTAAAATTTGACAAGAGAAGGACCAAGCAAGAGAGAGAGAGAGAAAGTGAGAAAGCATGCTGCCAGGTCTGGGACTCAGACTGCAATTGGCCATGTGGGAGTCCAGTGCCCTTAACCACCACACCACCTGCTGGCTCCCATTTATTTATTTTTATTTTTTACAAGAGAAAATGAGAGAGAGAGAGAGAGAGAGAACTCTCAACAGGGTCTCAATGCCACGATTCACCCCCAACCTTCAGCCAGCCCCAGAACACAGGCAAATGCATGCCCAACATACTCAGGGAAGTCTCTAGACTTGAACCAGGGAAATTCCCACGAGAGACTGTCTTACACAGCATTGTGTTTTACTGCTATACCCTCTTGCTCTATTAAATCTTGATCTAGAGTATATATCTCTTTAATATTTTGTGTGATAAAACAGAGAGTAAGCACAAAGCACTTTGGCATATGATGGTTGTTTTGAGGAAAAGCATGTGCAATCATTGATTGGGACTGTGAACTTAAATAGTTCATCTTTTATTTGTTTTATTTTAGAGAGATTTAAAAAAATTTTTTTTGAGAGGTTTTTGCTATAGGGTGCATGTGCTCGCCAGAAAGACAGAGAGACACAGAGAGACAGAAAGTGAGAAATCACCCCCAGGGGGATGACCACACCGCAATCCCTTTTCCTCCATTCTCCCCTTGTGATCTTGGGCACGCATGCACATGCGCCTGGTGTGACTTTAAGTCACCGGGTCGGGGGCTTGAACTGCGGTCGACTACATGAGAGTCCAGCGACATAGCCATTACGCCAACTGCTGGTCCTTTTAGAGAGATTTTTTAATCCTTTTTTTTTTTTTGGAGGGGTTTTTGCTATAGGGCGCGTGCGCTCGCCAGAAAGACAGAGAGAGAAAGAGACAGAGAGATAGTGAGAAATCACCCCCGGGGGGATGGCCACATCACAATCCCTTCTCCTGCATTCTCCTCTCAGGATCTTGGGCACACATGCACACGTGCCCGGTGTGAGTTTAAGCCACCGGGTCTGGGACTTGAACCATAATTGGCTACATGAGAGTCCAGCGACATAGCCATTACACTAACTGCTGGTCTCCCTTTAGAGAGATTTTTATGCTATAGGATATATGCACTCACTGGAGAGACAGAGAAAGACAGAGATACAGAAAGCAAGAAATCACCTCTCAAGGGTATGGCCATGCTGCAATCCCTTCCCATCCATTCTCCTCTTGGGACTTTGGGTTTGCACACACATGCACCTGACATGAGTTTTAAGTCACCATGTCTGGGACTCAAACTGCGGTCGACCACATGGCAGTCCAGTGACGTAACCATTATGCCATCTGCTGGTCCCTAGTTCATCATTTTTATTTGAAAGAATCAACAGACAAATTCTGATTATATCGACTTGAGTATCTACATTTCCCTTGAAGTGACACTGTATGACTTCAAGGAAATGAGCTAATTTTATCTTGCCACTTGTAACAGTTGAGCTTTCAAGTAAAACTTAGTACTTTGAAAAACTTTGATCTGACACCATGAACTCGATGTCTTTCTGAGGCTTAAAGACTTCCCTGATAAGATCAGTGGCAATAGGGACAACTCTGATTTTGAATTTTTTGGTAATAGAATATGTCAGCATTTGAAAGATCTGTATAACTCAATTAAATTATCTTTCCAGGGAACCAGCAGTTAGTGTAATGGCTATGTTGCTGGACTCCCACATAGTTGACCGCGGTTTGCATCCCGGACCCGGTGGCTTAAAACTCATGCCGGGTGTGTGTGCGTGCATGCCCAAGATCCCGAGAGGAGAATGGAGGAGAAGGGATTGTGGCGTGACCATCCCCCCTAGGGGGTGATTTCTTGCTTTCTGTCTCTATGTCTCTCTCTGTCTGTCTGGCGAGCACACGCGCCCTATAGTGAAAAATCTCTCCAAAAAAAAAAAATTATCTTTCCACATGACTAATCCATGATTAGTGTGTGAGAACAAGATCAATTTAAAGTGAAAGACCAATAGATTTGAAGGTAACAATATGCATACCTAGTTACAATAGTTTCAGATTTCACATTTTTTAAATATTAGAAAATTATTTTATTTATTATTATTTTTAAGTCCGCTATAGGGCACATGTGCTTACCAGAGACACAGATCAAGATGGGGTTGTGTGTGTGTGTGTGTGTGTGTGTGTGTGTGTGTGGTGGGGGCAGTGGGAGCAGTGAGAAAGGAAGTCAAACAGATTCAGGATTAGAACTGTGTTTGACCATGTGGGAATTCTGCACCTTCACCACCATGCCACCTGCTGGTCTAAGATTTCACACTGTTATTAACTTTAAAAATGATTTGCTAGAAGGACTAGCAGATGGCATGGTGGTTATGTTGCTGGACTCCCACATGACCAATTGCAGTTCAAGTCGTGGACCCAGCGGCTTGAAACTCACACTACGTGTATGTGTGTGTGTGCCCAAGATACAGAGAAGAGTAGAGAAGAAGGGATCATGGTGTGGCCATCCCCCTGGGGAGTGGTTTCTCGCTTTCTGTCTCTCTATCTCTCTCTGTCTCTCCAGGGAGCGCACATGTCCTATAGCAAAAATAAAAAAATAATAATAAAAATAATTTGCTAGAGAGCATGTGGGCTTGCTGGCCCCTCATAATTCATTTTTAATTCAGAATTGTATACTCAGCCCTCCAAATAAGTCAATGTAAGGATTTAAAAAGCAACCAGTTTAAGTTTTGCTTTTTGAGGAGCTCTTAGCCTAGTTGGAGCAAA